AAGTTATTATATTTAAGCTTTATATAAATAAAAACACCAGATGTCTACTGTATGTCCTCATTTAGTGGATGGTGTGTGTGTTACCTGTTGAGTGTGTGTGGAGTCTCCTGAGGGTACTGAGACTCTCCAGAGCAGTTTGAGAAGTCGAGCGGCCTCCTCCAGAGCCTGCTGCATAGTGTTCACACTGCCAGAGACACTCTTCAGCTGATCTACAGCCTGACACACACCACAGAGAACATACAGGAAGCACATTCAGTGCTGAAACATGACGCTAACACACATCAGACTGAGTGAGTGTGTGTGTGTTCTCACCCGGCCACAGTCGTGTATCTGTGTGTCCAGATCTGCAGTGAGTCTCTTGGCTTCATTGATCTGTTTGCGCAGGGCGTTATAGTCCTCTATCAGACCCAGAACGTGACGCCCACGTCTGTCAGCCCACAGCCGGTGACCCGGGACCAGCCGGGACGGAACGTGGGAACCAGAGTCCACTGAACTACCGCTGTCTGAACACAAACAGAAGTGGAAAATGACCATTTTATTTTCAGGGTTTATGTGCGAACTCGCAAACAAAAAAAGTCAATTTTTTTAACCATAATGATTTTGTCATATTATTTAAGCACCAACTGCAGTCTCATTACTGTATTGCATCTCAATGTTTTGAGCTTTATTCTCTTTTATTTTGTGATTATTGAATTAAATTCTCTACTGTAATGGTATTTTTATTTTATTAAAATAAATATATATAATAATGAATAATATATAACACTAACAATGACTGACAATGACAACAATAAATAGTATAAAATAATAACTTATCATTCACAAACCCACATAATGCCACTACAACAAAAACTACTACGATGTATAAACAATGTAATTGATCATTTGTCCTATAAACAGGCTGCATTTTCTTATTAATTTTCATGCTCTTTAGATTCATAATTGCAATGTAAATCTGTTCATAAACTAACCAATATCTTTATAAACATACAAACAGCAGAAAAATTCAAAGATGCATACCATGTGCAGCACTGGACGCGTCTGTATGCAAGTGAAGAACATCTGATTTACCAGCTTCATCTGAGAAAAAGAGAGAGAGAGAGAGAGAGAGAGAATGAAAGAAACAAAGAAAGAACAAATTACACAATGACAGAAAGAAAAAAGGTAGAAAGAACAAAAGAACAAACAAAAAAAATGAAAAGAACAAAATAAAGATTGATTGAAATAAAGAAAAAACAAAAGAACAGAAAGAACGACAGATATAAAAAAACAAAAAAGAAAAGAATGAACAAAGCAAACAAATAAAAGATCAATCGAAAGAATGAGCGAAAGAACAGAACAAAATAAAGAAAGAATGAAAGAGAATGAACAAAACAACAAAGAAAGAGAAAGAACAAACAAGATTGATCAAAAGAAAGCGAAAGAACAGAACAAAAGAGAGAATGAACAAAAGAACAGAACAAAAGAGTGAAAGAATGAAAGAAAATTAACAAAAGAACAAAGAATGAAAGAAAGAAACAAAATAAAAATAAATTTCTGTCTTTTGCTTTAACAATTTATTTCTAGAATCTGCCTCTTCCAATTACTAGTATTTACTGAAGACTTTGTTATTCTGCTACTGACACATTGTCATTTGTGTTACAGTTTACTTTGTAAAATCACTGTAACCTCATCAGATTTCTTGCTTTAACAAAATTGCTTTCAAATATTAGGGATGCACCGAAATAAAAATTCTTGAACGAAGCCGAACAAAATGAAACACTGGGCCGAAGCCCGAATACCGAATATGGTTTTTCACATTTTTCCCACATGTAGGCCTATTTTGCCTTTTTTTTTCACCATTGCATTAATTAAATCGCCAAAATGTGCTTTTTACTGTTTTGTCCTGCTTTTTAAATAAAAAAATCGATTACAAAACAGCAATTTAAAAATATTTACTTAACACTGAACATTTTTTTTAACATTCTAGCAGACATTATACCAATTATATTTTTGAGACTTGAATCAGGCATTTAGGTTATTTTTTACTGTACAAATAAAGGCAGCCTTGCTGAGCAGAAGAGAATTCTTTTAAAACATCAGAATATAGCCTATTACAGATCCAAATTTGAACACTATGTGTGAATGTTATAATAAATGTATTAACAGAACTTTTATCGGGTAATTATTATTAATTATCATTATTATTGTCTTACATTTTTATTTTATTTTACAGAACAACAGTAAAATTACAATACTATCATTTATGAATGTCGATGGAGTTGTTGCTTTTTCTCGGCTTTTATTTTGGCAGAAACCCGCAGGAAGATCTCAGTGCTTCTTTTTGTTGACAACAGCATGCAGATTTATAAATGATTCTCATTACGAATTTGGGAAAATGTTTGTCAAACGTATCACATTGTCACATGCCTTTAAAAAAATGTTACTGAGCAACTGACGAGTAACAAGTCCAGCGCAGCTTTTCCTCACGCTTTGGATTTTGAACCCTGGCGCCGCGAGCTCGTTTGAGGTAATTTTGCGATTTCAATCATCATACAGTAACCTAACCACCAGCATTAGCCACCTCTTCTTCTCATCAGAGACGTGATGCAGCACTAAACAGTCTCTTGCTGTCGGTGCTTCATGCTTGTAATGATTTCTGCGTCTTTCTCTGATAGTTTTAAATACTTTCACACTGCCGTCATGTTTGCTGCATTAGTGCGTGCCTCTATTTGATCGTGTTAGTCATTGTTCGGTACATATTATTCGGCCTTTTCACTTATTTGGCCAAACACCGAAAGAGATTTTTTTTTTCCCGGCCGAATAATTTCGGTTGCCGAATATTTGGTGCATCCCTAATAATTAACGCATTTCAAATAAAGACACTTGTTTGTGATGTGTGTGTGTGTGTGTACCTGTTTTAGGCAGCAGGTAGTTGATGTTAATGGTTGATCTGGGGTCGGTGCGGGTCAGCAGCTGTTGTTCCAGTCTCTGTGTCAGTGTGGTGTTGATCTGGATGCTTCTCTCCAGCTGAACACGCAGCTTTCTGATCTCAGCCAAAAGCTCGCTCAGATCCGCTGCTGAACCGCTCTCAGATCCAGAGCCATGGCCCTCACCTGAACACACACACACACAGATATCAGGGGCGTCTCAAACCACGTGTGTGTGTGCGTGCGTGTGTGTGTGTTTGAACACACCTGTGTGAGTGTGTGTGGAGTTCTTCATGTGATCATGCACCTGCAGCTCCACACGCACAGACTGCAAGAGCTGCTGGGTGTCACACAACTGCTGCCTCTGATGACTGTTCTCACACTGCAATCTGAAACACACACACACACATATCAGTGCATGCACAAAATAACTTATGTTATCCTCACTGGTTGCATGTAAAACTATCATTCATGCAACTGTTCGATGTCAGATTTTTTAGATGGTTTATTTTATTTGAATAAGTCAAACCAAATTACAAATGAGTCTGAATTAAACAGATTTGAATTTGTCAGACAACCAACTCACTCACTGAATGAGTGCAAACAATTACTGCATTAAAAATTGAATCACTTACTGAATCAGTCAAAATGAATCGGACAGAGTGCTTACTGCATTAATCACTGAGTCACTTACTGAATCAGTCAGAACCATTACTGCATCAACAAATAAATAACTTAATGAATCAGTCAGAATGATTACTGCATCAACCGATTCAATGAATCAGTCAGAATGTTTACAGCATTAAATATTGAATCACTCTAAAAATCTAATCAGACTTAAAACGGGCTTTTAGCAGTTGTTTGAAAGATTTAAAACCATTCAAATATTAACTGGTTGATCCTAGATAAAGACACTCATTTGTAGATGTAAATGAAGATGTAGGAAACACTGATGTGCAACAACTGAAAAATTCAGGGACGACATAATGAGTGTGTGTGTGTGTGTGTGTGTGTGTGTCCGTAACATGAAACTAATTAGCCAATTACACATTTACCTCCTGGATTACAAATAATTGCAATAATTAAAACATTACACAGTCCCACTGAGAATGACATATGATACACACATTACATGATACCAAACCACTGTATCTGCTGCTAATCTCTTTTATAAAGAAACACAATTTCCGGTGGATGGATGTCCCGTATGCATTACCTATACAGGTTGTCTTGTAGTTGTGTTCTTTCCTGTTTCAGTGTTTCACACTCTTTTCTGCTCAGCTCTAGTTTAGCAGTTCGTCTGGCCAAAGTCTCCCTCAGGCGGTCGTTCTCCTTCTGTTTATCTGTTTAAAACCCACACATCTGTGACAACAGCTGACAGATCACATCCAGAAGCAGTTTTAACAGTTTAGAGCCTATGCTACCTCGTGCTCCCTGGTTGAGCTGCTCTTTGAGTGTGTGGTTTTGGGCGAGGAGGAAGTGGAGTTCACTGCTGATGTGAGCCTGCTCCTCAGAACCAGCGATGAAGATGTTAGTGGCTGCTCATCAGATACACACACACACACACATTTTGAGTGATTAGAAGATTTGAGGAGCGTCGTGAGCAACTTCAAACATGAAATGAATGTGTATGCTTTGTGTGTTTACCTGAGTCTTTTTCAGCTTCCTGTAACTTTCTTTCTAACTGTTCTCGGAGTCTCTCATTGGTTCTGATCGTCTCTTCAAGACGCTGACGCAACGCTCGGATCTCTTGAAGGTGTTCTACTAACAGATCTACGAGGGAGTGAGAACATAAATGTGGATGAAGCTAATTCTGCATCTATTTACATTCTATAACGTTGAAGCTCTCGGACTCTACCCGAGTTGATGGTCATGCTCTCTGACGTGTTCTGCTGCTCCGACTGTTTGTCTTTGGTCTTTTTCTGTGGGTTGTGCTTCAGGACAGATCGAGTGAGGTCCAGTTCACTACGAAGTGTAGCATTCAGTTCCTCACTGCTTCTCAGCTGCTCCTGCAGATGGCCATTCTCCCGCTGTAGCATTCCGACACTCCCCTCTTCACCATCGACCACGCCCCCAGATCCCAGACCCGTATCTGAAAACGCATCGCTATTGGTTGCCATCAGCCCTGCTAGAAACGACAAGAAAGACTTGTTTACAAGTGCGTACAAGAATAACTGGTGAATTTTGAGTACAAAAACATGCTAATAGCATTTCAGCAATTTTGAGTATGGCTCCTTTGCCATCATTCAATTGTATTATATTAAAGGGGTCATATGATGCGATTTCAATTGTTCCTTTCTCTTTGGAGTGTTACAAGCTCTTGGTGCATAAAGAAGATCTGTAAAGTTGCAAAGACTAAAGTCTCAAATCCAAAGAGATATTCTTTATAAAAGTTCAGTCAGCCACACCTACCTAAAACGGCTCGTTCTAACACGCCCCCACATATCTACCTCACTATGTGGGAAGATTTGCATAACGCCGCCCAAATGTTCATGCAACGAAAGGCGGCGCAACTTTTATTCTCACTGTAGTATTGTTGACGCTGCAGCCATGTCGTGAAGACGCTGTGTGCTATGTTGTGAAAGCGAAACTACTTTGTTTGGTCTTCCAAAAGAGGACGATATCCGCTTCGTCATGCCTAGAGCTGATCTGTGCTGGTCGCTGAGGGAATACATCAACTTTCACCGTGGACAAAGCGGAGTCGAGCCCGGGGTCCGTCACATGTGGTTGCCGCTCATTCATCGCATCCTCAGCTCACTCTATCCAAGCCTCAGCTCTAGAGTAGCACTTGTTGTTTGTCATTTCTCCGATCACAAATGCAGACAGGGTTTTATGTTTACGCGGTTATGTTTATGCAACGCAACACGTAAAAAGACAGTATAAGTCATTATAATCAGTAATTATGTCCCCACTGGATGCAACAAATGCCTTGTTTGTAACAGGTTTTTAATGTTTTTGTCTCGTCACTCCGGCCAGGACACTGCATCAACAGTATGGTGAGGGGCGTAACATTTCCGTCTCACGCTTGAGGTATTCGGCCAATCACAACGCATTGGATATCTGGCCAATCACAGCACACCTCGCTTTTTCTGACCTATGAGCTTTGTAAAAATCGACACGTTTCAAAAAGGCGGGGCATAGAGGAGAAACAATAATGCACAGTATGTGGAAAATAATGTGTTTTTTTTTTTACTTTAAACCGCATAAACACATTTCATTACACCAAATACACAAAATAATGTTCTTTTTAGCAACATCATATGACCCCTTTAAGTATGAGGTATATTAGACACACCAGCATTCAACAGTTAAGGGTCTCTTCTGCTCACCAAGGCTGCATTTATTTAAATACAGTACAAACAGCAATATTGTGAACTATTATTACAATATAACAGTTCTATTTGAATATATTTCAAAATGTAATGTAATTTATTACTGTGATACTAAGCTGAATTTTCAGCATCATGATCCTTGAGAAATATACACTACAAATACATTTTTATTTAAGATAATGAAAACAATATTTGTCTTTATAATAACATGCACAGATGAACCAAGCACAATAAGGGGACACTTATTAATAAGGTAAACTGTTAATTTGACTTCATGTTGAGTTTAATGTCTTACAACACATTTTCAAATGTTGTTACCAATGTTGTTATCATTAACTAAAACTTTATTTTTCCTGTAAGAGCAGGTGCGGCCATTTGTAAATTGAATGTGTCTGGCTTCCGAGGGTCTCTTCTGCTCACCAAGGCTGCATTTATTTAAATACAGTACAAACAGCAATATTGTGAACTATTATTACAATATAACAGTTCTATTTGAATATATTTCAAAATGTAATGTAATTTATTACTGTGATACTAAGCTGAATTTTCAGCATCATGATCCTTGAGAAATATACACTACAAATACATTTTTATTTAAGATAATGAAAACAATATTTGTCTTTATAATAACATGCACAGATGAACCAAGCACAATAAGGTAAACTGTTAATTTGACTTCATGTTGAGCTTAATGTCTTACAACACAGTTTCAAATGTTGTTACCAATGTTGTTATCATTAACTAAAACTTTATTTTTCCTGTAAGAGCAGGTGCGGCCATTTGTAAATTGAATGTGTCTGGCTTCCAATCTCATCCACTTACAGCTATTTTTAGCTGTACAAAACAGCTCGTTTTGCTGCTTGATACTGCAAACTGGTGTGTCTTACTAGGCCTGGACGATAAAACGGTATCGATATTTATCGACGATACACCTTCGATAACGATAGAAAAAATGTTCGATATAGGCACGTGCTATGAGTGACGCAGACCGCACACACAAACACGAACACATGCTGAATTGAGTGCTGTGCCTGCCTGTGATGGAGAATTAAGAAATTGTAAAATATACAAAAATTAATATTAGTCGAATTTAAATTAAACATTTGCATTTGAATGCAAAAATAGTACAATCAAATGTTAGGTGTGCGTCTGGGAGCGTCATTAGTGCAGCACGAGATGCGGTGATGAGTCTGGCTTCCAATCTCATCCACTTACAGCTATTTTTAGCTGTACAAAACAGCTCGTTTTGCTGCTTGATACTGCAAACTGGTGTGTTTACTAGGCCTGGACGATAAAACGGTATCGATATTTATCGACGATACACCTTCGATAACGATAGAAAAAATGTTCGATATAGGCACGTGCTATGAGTGACGCAGACCGCACACACAAACACGAACACATGCTGAATTGAGTGCTGTGCCTGCCTGTGATGGAGAATTAAAAAATTGTAAAATATACAAAAATTAATATTAGTCGAATTTAAATTAAACATTTTCATTTGAATGCAAAAATAGTACAATCAAATGTTAGGTGTGCGTCTGGGAGCGTCATTAGTGCAGCGCGAGATGCGGTGATGATGATGTAAGTGACGTTGTTGCATGTTTTATATAATTAAATATTTTTATTAAATATAGTAGCTCAATGCTTAGAAGATCTTGATTAGGTTAAATCCAAAACCAAACCATTCTCACAGAACGCATATTCAGCGCATTTTTTAGATGGACAAATATGACTGCTGCTCTCACGTCTTACACAAGAGATGTATAGAAAGCCATGCAAAGTTAAAACAGTTTAAACTTTTAGAAAACATATCACGAATTTGTGGAGGTTTATTCCGTTTCACTGCATCTCATATGTTTTTAAAGGCAATCTGTGCGATGGGCGATTCGGCTCCTTGTATTAAGCAGTGCATAAATACATGATGCTGTTTTTTTCATAATTGTTTATGCAATTTACGAAATTATGTTTGATTTATATGAGTTAATTTAGACATAATGCACCCTTTTCTTTTTATAGACAGTTATTTCCTTTGCGTTGGTAATTTAATGTGCTGCAGTATTTTGCTCATTGCGCCCTCCTGTGGCTTCGGGAGACAAGCCAAAAGTTTCCTTCAGACCTATTTAATCTGCATATAAAACATTAGAAATTAGATATTCGTTTAATTTTTATTTTGTGTTTGACTGTTAAAACAAAAAATATTTGTTGTCTTAATAAATTGGGTTAATTTAAAAATACAGTGGTTAAATTTAAGTTTTTTTCTATTGCTCGTTTTAAAAAAGGTTATAAAAAAATTTCAATAATTATCGATACGGAACGATATGAAACATTATATCGTTGATAAATTTTTTAGCTATATCGCCCAGCCCTATGTCTTACCACAATATTTTAATGTATTATCTTCATTATGAACACACTGGTTTGTAGTGCAAACAGTTTTAACATTTATTGCACTTTGATATTCTTCTCGTTATTTCCCCGCAGGAAATGTCTCGCACATTCACAGAAAACGGCTTACTTCTGCGTTGAAAACTAAGGTGGATAAAAACTGTTTTTGGTAATTAAAGTTGAAATAAAATAAAATGGAAATATTAGAAGAAAAACTTAAAATTAGAAATGTTGCCTCAACTAATTGAAATAAGTTAAAGTACTACGTAATAAAATTACTAACACTAATATTGAAAATTTTAAGTAGAATAATTAAATAAATTCTAAATAGAAACATAAAAAATAATAAAAGCACATAAAAAATTGTAGAATTTAAAACATTCTGAAAACAAAAATAAAAGCCAATTAAAAATATATAAAAAGACTGTAATAGTACATACATAAGGCTAAAATAGCACTGGTTCAAACATCAACTTCTGTACCTTAAGCCTAACCTATAATTCAAGACAGCAAGGCATCAGCAGCACTTAAACGCAGAACTGGACAGTTAAGAAAACATTACCGCTCGAGTTTTACCTTCCTCTTTGGTGGTTTTGAGCACTTTTCTCCATCTGCTACGAGAGACGCTGTTATGGACCACAATTTGTTGACTCATGTCCAGAGCCGAGCTACTGTTAACCTAGACCTGACCAGATGTCAGTATAGTTTCAAACCAGTAGAAAGTTTAGAACAGCAGTAACACTCTCACGAACATCACTTAACATGAGACCCTCGCTTCTAATAACGTTAGTGCTAAACAACGTGTAAATACGGTGTTGTTCATCACGCGTTCACTGAATACATCTCCAATCTCTTGATCTATTGTGTCCCAGCTGCTGGGAAACCTGAACCAGGTCGTTCTGAAGAGACATCAGGAGTAACAAATTCCTTCTGTTGGCTAGTGTAGTGCTATGAGAGTTACTCCAGCATCTTGTGCCAATGCTTTTACTTAAAAAAAAAAAAAAATAATAATAATAATCTATCCGTTTGCATGAAACTAACTCAACAAATCAGCAACCCACTGGCTCAGGGCTCTTAAAGGCTCTCAGGAGGGCAGAGGAGATAACAGTGCATACTGAATAATGCATCTGTAAGGACCAGTAACGGGACACCAGCCTCAGCTCCTGCCATTTCATTACACAATTCTAATACTCAAGCCCGCAGATTAACAAAAATAGATAAATGCATATTTAATATCAAGACAGCACACATGGGTTGGGCTCGTTGTTCACTAAAATACCTCAAAAGATACAATCAGTGATAAATAATAAATACGTTTTGCTGAAGTATTGCAATTATGCATCACTCCTACAAAAATAATTTAAAACTCAAAAATAGACATTTAAATTAAACTTGCCATGGCAATGGACTGAAATAATAATTTCAGTATGCGTATCTTGTCAGTGTCTGCGCTTGCTTGGCCATTTGTTGTGGAAAAATTAACAAACGCCAGCAGAAAACAGTGTAAAGAAATACTCTTTGAGAGAAGCAGTCTTTATCAGCTGAAGTTAAAAGCAGCTCCTAAGTGTATTTACTTGTCTCATTAGTGTTTAGTGCAGTTGTCGTTGCAAGGAAACGCTTGTTTTGTTTACTGTGTGGAGACGTGCTGATATCGCGTTTGGTCTCGTTCTGTATCGCGTATCTTGTCAGTGTCTGCGCTTGCTTGGCCATTTGTTGTGGAAAAAATAAGGAAAGTGTGTCCAGCTGAATTAATTTAGTATTTTGTTAGAGGGGTATAAAAAAAGCTTAGTTTACCGCGGCAGCCGTCGCGTGAAGGCCTCCTCGTGTGAAGACCGAAGAGTGTAAAGACCATCGACTCTACCGTGCGACTCCACCGGGCAGGGACACTGGCAAAGGATACGTATCGCTTTTTATTTCTCCTCTTTCCTATTACTTGTTTCACTTCTGTTTCAGTTTTTATAACCATTTCTTACTATGTGTAAGTTATTGTCTTTTAACGTGTGTTTGGCAGTGTTATTTTTTAGGATTACTGATAAACTACTGTCATTTGATTTGTATTATTTGTATTTGTTATTTAAATTTTAGTTAAATTATGTCTGAATTTATTATGTCTGTATAGGTCTTTTATTAAGTTTTATTTAATTTGAGTTATTTTAATACTTCAACAAACTAAATGGAAATGAAATAATATATATTGAATTTA